GGTAAAATCACATATCATCGATCATTAACAAATTTATTCCATTTTATTAGTAGAAGTAGCAAAGCTAACATACCATTTCTTATATTATAGAAACTTCAGCCAAGTACTACATATATGCTACTTAGAATATGCTAGAAAGTTTGAGCAAAAACATGATAAGTTCAACACAGGTATTATTTTATGGCGATCTATTTATTCATCCAATATACACATAATGTCACTACCACATGTGATTTAATAGATCGTGACTCAGACTAAGATTTGTTCATATGTTGAACCTTGTCTGACATCGCGCAAAAAATTTGATTTACTGTTATATATTAATTACACGAATCTAATATAGTATCGTTTATTTTGTCCAGCATTTGCGTGATTTTTCGTCGATATATGAAGATCTAGAGGCAGGTATCGAAAGAGATGCACGTAGGATGGTTATTTCTACGATCCCTCGGCAAGATCTCAATAACGCACGAGATCTGAATAACCGAATTATACTCTCCCAACCGAAAAAAAGTCAAACCGAGATACCAAAAAGATCTTGTGATAAGAGGCAGAGAAATGTAGGTAAGTAATTATTTAATATGAGCTAGTACATTTGTGTTAATCTTTTTCATTGTATTACGTTGTTAAAAATCGCTAATTATAATCACTACTTTTTTACAGATTTGTCACGTGCCAGACGTGAGTTGAAAGCAGAGGATCCACTACCCGATGGGGTATAATTCAATACTTATATAGCAAAAATAATTATATAGATTTAGCAGTTTTAAAATGTAAATATATCGGATGATCACTTGTTCTCATTAATTGGTGTGGGTGTGAAAGCTTGAGTTTTGGGTTCAGGCTCTAGATTTGAGTCAAGATCAGAATCGGAAGTATCACCCTCGGCATAATACATTCCAGAATTATGATGATTTATCTTATGCCTCATTGCAACTCTACTAAGGAATTCGAGATGTTGTGAAGTTGGATTTTGATCACCATGAACTCTAGAAGCATGTTTACCTCCAATTTTTCTTAATCTTTTGG